TGCCGCACGTATCAGTGGCCTCCCTGTTAGCCTTCGTTTCAAGGCCACCTTGGCCACGATCACTTTCGCCGCTATCGCCTCTTGGGGGGGGGCTTTTCCACGGTCGGGTTTCCGTTTCCTCGGAGTGCAAGAGATTCACTTCTCGCTTCAGGGAGGCGGTGAAAGGAGGTAAATGCCCTGTGGACCATTCTTCCAGGGATCTTCAACAAGTGTTCCTCCTGGGGCCTTGTTCTGATTTGAATCTTGTGCTTGCGCAATTTCGCCAAAATCCGGGTGTCTTCCTCCCTGCAAATAGGCTTAGAGATTCCCCCCCATGGTCAAACCGGTCAACAAATAGACAAATGGCTTGGATCCAATCGACGAGACGCTGTGATCGCTCGGAACGCTGGCCTTGTGGTCAACGGAGCTCGCTGGCGATGCGACTGGCATTTTGGTGGGTGGCTTGCGCACGGACGCGCAATGGGCGCGCAGGTGCGCGGACTGTGGTTTGAATGAAGTGCCTTGTGCAGAACATGTGCTGTGGCATTGCCTGGCCTTCGCCGCTTGGCGTTCAAGAGCGCGATCCGCGCGCCACATGATGGCCCGAATGGGTTGGGGGCCTGGTGGCCCGGATGTGGGGCTGCTTCAGCAACTTGGTGAAATTAGGGCTGCGATAACCCGCCGCAGACTGCGGTGGTTGCACCGCTGTTCGGGGGGTCGACCTCCGGAGGCGCCTGCGTGACTGCATGCATGTTAATGACACAAACCGGGCGGTTGCCTGGATATTTTCGAGGGTTTTGAAACCCTGGACTTAGGTCTCTGAACTTAGGTTCTGTTAAGGAACACAGCTCTGGCTTTGCTCCAACGCGCTGCCGCTCCAGAGTCAGGGCGCAGCGGAAAATTAAGCGTCACTTTTTCTCACTTATGCGGATAACTGGCCTCTGGACACTTCACCACCAGACAAGGCAAGTTCCGGGCAATGACCGCCGCTCTTGGTCTCGATCACTTTCGGCTTCGTCTCCTGCTCCTCGTCGGATTGCTCAGTCCTTGACAGGCGCTGGTCACGCCGGGCAGATCTTCGATAGGCTTTCAAGGTGGCCTGCGTTGCTCTTCGGCTGCTTGTCCTCTTCGGTGAGTGGTGTCATCATTCCTAATACCGTGCTTGGCTTTCTTTCTTCATGCCGCTCAGGCGCTTCTTCTCCACCGCGGCCTTGCCCTCCCATTCTCCCCAAGCTTGAGCATCCCTTTCTTATGGCTCTTGCTCCACAGCCCTTGCTTATCGCTAACTTGATGTCTTCAGACAACGTTGTGACCCTCCGGCGCTCGAAGCAGCCCCCGTGACGTATTTTCTCGAGAAAAAACGAGCTTGCAGCCTGGCGACCGACGCCATTGGCCCCGCCTTTCCTTGTTCGCCCTGGCGTACTGCGAGGTCGCTCCCGGCTTTCAGTTTGTGGATTGCGGCATTCATAGATACATTACAAGCGTACGACGTGGCTGACTCTCATCCGACTCCAAGGCTGCAACAGCGCTACTAATTTGTGTGGTTAGCATAGGACATCTGCCCGGTTTGGTCAGTTCTGCCTGGTCTTGCTTTCTCCAATTACACGGCCATCCGTCTCATGGACTCGGTCGTCCGAGACAGACGGTCCAGCTGCGGGCGCCTGTAGTTCTGCCTGCCCAACACTGTGACGGATCCTTTGAAGCTTTCTAATCGTGAACAGCCTGCACACAAGCCGCTCCCAGTTCTCCACTGCCGTCTCAAAGAACTGTGTGGCAAACACCTGTCCCATACGCCCCTCAAACCAGAGGCTCTGATTGAATATTTTGCAGCAACACACACATTTCTTGAGCCAAAATGGGAGTCGCAGTGAAACATGAGGCTTATGTTCACCCAACGGATCTAATCATGTGACATAAACTGCGCACCCTTTCGCGCACTCCTGGAGCCTCTATTCTGTGCACGCACCAGAGGCGCGTCATAACGCCGCCCCAAAAATGAGGATTGACAAACTGTTGGGGGGCACAGCAAAGCCTGGCTCTCTTCTGGCATGAGGCTGCGATTCTTGGTGGTGAAGTCATATTTTGGGAGCGCTTTCCAGTGATCGCCTGCGCAAGAAGACAGGGCCCACAAAACATGTCGAAGGTTTCTGCCTGGGATGTCTCCCTGAAATGCTCCCACGCGGGGTCCCCCACCGCGGCGCTTGTCTGCCAAGGACCTCAAAAAGGTAGAAAGAAACTGCGCCGAAAACTAAGAACAGGCCCTGCCCTGTGGTAAATGCAAAGGTTGCACCCGTGCAGCCCTACACACACAGGGATAAGGTCTTGGCAACTCAATGTCCTCCATGTTGGTGTTTCGGTACTCCCGAGGATCCAAGCAGATATGCAACTCCTCGAGCAAGGCGCAATAAATTCTATGGCTCATTTGGTGTAGCATACGCGTGAGCCCTCTGTGCCATCATTGCTGCGATGTCCTGTCCTTGCTGGGGTCAAGCAACGCTGCTCGAAAAGAAAAGGCGCCGCCACAGCAACCAGTGGAATGATAGTGCTGCAAAATGTAGCCTGAATTCCGAGCGGCTCACAAAGAACCCTGCTAATTCAACAGACTTCTCGCGTCCTCCGAAAGCGCAAAGCTTTCGCCTCCGAGAGCTCTGCCAACCACTTGCAACGAGAGCTACTTCTTCAGAGAATTGCAACGACCAGGCAAGATCCAACTTTATGACGCTGATGGCCGGGAGAAACGCACAACTTGCGTTTGGATGGTAAAAGCGGTATCAAATTACACTCAAGCACCCTATCAAACTTGTACACATGATTTTGTTACTGCCTACAGAAAGAATACTCTGCCAAAATGGTAACATTGTTGTAAACCACAACGGCTCGCCGTTAAACACAGTGTGGTCCAAATGAAGCACACATCAACGAGTGTTGGAGCCGGTGTTCGAACAACATGCGCCTGCTCAAATATTTCCGGATTCATGTTACAAGAAAACCCTTTCCTCTCACCCGACCTGGCTACTTTGGCTTTGTATCACGCCGTGATCTCTTGCCAGGGATCTCCTTCCAGGCAATGAACACACTCAGTTGTGAAGCCGTGAGGCTTGGGCAGCAAGCAGGTCGGCTCATGTCGGATCGAGCGACTAATCTGTGGACACCTGAGATGTAGTGGCTGCGGTGGCCATACGCTGAACCAAAGCGCAAACGAACGCAAGGCGCGCCCTTCCCAAAAGGGTTGATCGATGGCACTGACAGCGAGCAGGCTCATAGCAGTTCACCCGTGTTGGCAAAATTGGCTGAACAAAACAGCTTGCAAGTGTGGTTGGTGCGCGGTGCTTGCTGCCACAGAATATCCGGCATCGTCCTTGTAACGCCCAGGCAACTGCAAAATGACGGGCTAGAACCTGGAACCTTCTTGATTGTGGGCTGATTTTGGGAAGAATTGTGTGTCTTCATTTTCCGAGAAGCAGCAACAACAACAACCAAAGCAACTACAGCCACGTGTGACGCATAAAGCCGATCATGCCAAACGCCGAAAACCCTTTGGAACAATGAAGCACACAAATGAATCCAGACTATCGTCATCATACAGCATCGTGCGGAATATCAACTAACAAAAAAGACAAACAAATAACACAAAAGTCATCCCAGCGCACATATGCCAAACATCGCATGCCTTGATGTGACGTCAAATCATTGCAAATCACAAGCGCTGCATACTCAGCCAACCTCACTTGGTTTCAATGCAAAGAGGATTGGCGAGCAATGAAAAAGGCGATCTTCAGCGTCCAAACACCCAGCTGCTCTCTGTTGCAGCGCAATTCGAAACCAACCAAAGTATAGTAACCTGCTAGATAGGAGTGACACACGGCTCCAAAAAAGTGAACTTGCTTGCGGCCTGCTCATCTTTCTGCGGCGCGTGGCGACTTGCCCTGGCGTACATATGCGTGTTGTGTTGCATCATGCCGAGCCTGGGCTTCCAAACCCAAAAACGAAAAACAACTTGAATATATGGCTGTTTTTGTTTGGAGTTTTGGCTGCAGAACAACCTGGGCTTTCCGGGGTCTCAATTTTCCAAATTTACAGAAAAGCAAATCCATAATTTCGGTCAAAACCAGCTATTGCAAACCCGTGCAAGGTCACACGGAAATGTCAGAGGGTGGGTGGGGGGTCCGAGGGGCGCGGGCTGGCGTGGCCTCGGAGGTGGGGGGTTGTGAGTGGTGTGGAGCAAATATAAAGTGACGTGAAATGAAGGGAAAGGAAGGGAAGTCATGAATATGCGGGGAAATGAAATGAAGCAAAATGAAAAGGGACGTGGCTGGAAATATATGCACTGCAGGGAGCAAAGGGAAATCCAAGAAAACAAAGCGACATAAATGAAAGGACATGAAATAAAGGAAAACAACAATGGAAATGAATGGAAATGAATGGACATGAAATGGGAGATGAAATCGGAAATGAGGGGAAGTGAAGGAAATGAGGGGAAAGAAAGGAACATGCAAGAAAATACAGTACAATGACACGAAGGAAGGGAAATGACGGGAAGTGAAGGGTAGGGTTCCCGATGGCCGGCGACTAAACCATATGTTGATCCAGTAGTTACATCACCATCATTTCAATTGTATACATTGTTTTGACTATCAATTACTATGATTGCCATTCTTTGATGGCGAAACAGCGTATATTCTCACAACTATTATTGTGGATTGAGGTGATCTTCAACCGCACTCCTCAGGCTTGGCAGGCCATGATAACGTTTGTCATATAGAGCCAAAACGTGTGCTTTCTTTACCCCTTGACTCTATAGAAAGCTACAGCAGCTCTCAATGGTGTTCTTTTCTGATCGAGCTCAGCATCTTGAACAGGAAATCTTACAGATGGCGAGTATCGCCACCTCAGCAACGCCAATGCCTTTGGCGGCGTTCTGGACGTTCTGAACAAGTGAAACCACTGTGACTGTCACAAACCCACTTTTCAATCCATCGCCTTGCCCATGCGCTTGACCAGGGCACGTATTGCTCGCTGCGTTAAAGCTGCACGCATGGGGATGTGCCAACCACACCGCCGATCATGGTGTCCGCTGCAATTTCAATGCTGCAGGAGGATCCTGTCGGAAAGCGCTTGCTCCACAAATTCAAAGAAAGGGCACCTCCACAGAAGCCTTCTGCAGCTTCTGCTGCCCATCCATCAGCACTGAGAGCTTCATCTGCTCCACCATTGAACTGTCCCTGAGCTGCCCACACGAACAGCGTGGCTGGAGCTTGATATTCTATGGTCCATGTGCCCGCTGTTGGCCAACACTTGCTGCCGATGTACGTGCCACCTAGAAGTACTGCAGGTACGTTCTGGAAAGTATAGTCCTTGTCCGGGTACAAGGCAATACCCTCTTCCATAGTACGTGCAGGGTACCAATCAATGAATAACCCCGAGCAACCAGTTACTGTTCTTCCTGCATCTTGATCCTCAGGATTGCCAAACACCTGAAACTCCAACAAGGCCACCAGTGGAGTCATTTCCAGATTCAGACATGTCCAAATCTGGCCAAGTGTTTACATAATGGGCTTCCTTTCCCTATTATATGCGCGTTTCTCGAACATGCACTTTCTACGCCGCGCACTTAGTCTCCCTTTTGAACTGTCGTTAGATGATAAGGCCTGCGCAGGTACAAGCTACGAAATCATCCACGCTTCACCAAACCCACGCGAGCAGTCCTGATCATTTGCGTCTTCTACTGGTCCTTCCTCTTGCTCATCTTCATCCTCTTCTACAATCTGGTTGTGAAAGTCGCCACGCTTTGCTGGCATCTGACAATTCATGACTTTCAATTGTCCCATAACATAGAGCCAATCCTCAAAATCCATCCAAAAGCTGCCCTCAGTTTGAAAATCCACGTTCAGCGCTTCAGCAACTGATGGGTTGGCCTTCCAGGCAGAGTTACGATCACTCCAAGGTCCGTTCCATTCAACTTCATTGCCCCAGGGGTTTCTGCAGCAAACCATCCTGACGCCCTCAATCTCGAGTGCGTGCAAAAAGCTGTAGGCATGGCCCTGGACGATGCCAGATGAAGTCTCCATGGCAGAGGTGGAGGCCGACGATGCCATGAGGTAGTTGCCTTTGTCGTAGTCCAAAAGCCTTTGCCACATCTCTTCTGGCTCCACAAAACTTGTGGAATGCTTTTTGAAGATGGTCTCAAGGACGTCTTTGTCGCTTCCCGAAGCACCACAGGCTTTCATTGCCTGGTTTCAACTCTTCAATGATCTTCTATACCAAAGGACCCCAAACAACAGCTGCAATTGAGAAATCCCAACATATTCCAATCAAACTGCTGACTCCAAGATCCTATTGAAACCTGAGCAGTCATTCAACCCTGTATCCGCAAAACGCTCAGTGCAACTCTGATTCCTTTGAATATCTAGATACCGCATGCCTTAGCTCACAGTGTGGCACCTAACTGAGGGTAGAACCTCCTCAGGAACAATGCCCACGTTGGATTGCATGATGCAAATGTCGTTGGCAGCAGTGCGCTTTGCTGCTCGCTTGCCATTGCTATAGTATTTCAGCCATCCCTCATCCGGCCCATCGCCATCGATCTTTTTGAATTGAATCCATTCTCCAATCCTGAAGGGCAGATTCAGGATCAAAAACCAAAGCAGGTGAGCAGTTTCAGGATGGCTTCTCAGTACAGTTGAATCTCGCTTTCGTGAGGGCAACCCATGGTACGCTTTCTGGGTGTTCAAACATTCCTCCATGGGAACAGGTGTAGGTACACGTGAAATGTCAAGTGCCCCCACCCTGTGTTTGTTTTCCCATCCCAAATCCTCCACGTTTCGGTGAAGTGAGCACCTTCACCTAGCTGACCTACGCGCTGCCGGGATTTGTCATAGTCCCAGTAATCAGCGACCACAGGAATGCCATCACCCGCAACCACGGTATGTAGTGCTGTAATAGAAGACTTCTTTGCAGCTGGTCGTGTGAAACCAGGCGATCTCTGGAAAGCCAGCGTCCAGGGCAGACCAATTGCCATACAGTTTGGCAAAGGCCTTTTCAAGGAGCGCCATGCACATCTTTCCATCGGGCATCTGCCCAAACAACAAGTCTGGCTGGTCCCCACCCGCTGTTGTACATGGTAAGTAGTCATCGATTTGGATGATTTGCCATTGATTCGTGCGACCATCAAACAGCTTGACTTGGTACTTGCCACTCTTGGAAATACTCTTGTTGACAAAGATATTGTTCTTGATGTAAGCTGGGAATTCGGCTAAGGCAGACAAAGCTGACACGAGCCAACAGTTGCCAACAGCCCCTTGGCAAGCATCTGCGGGCTCTACATCCACAAAGAGAGCCGGATGAGGATGAAGAGACAAGGCTCTGAGCCATCGACAATCTTTGTATTTGCTGGCGGCTGCTGCTCATTGTTGTGGGGGCAGTCAGGATCTTTCCATCCATCCTCGACAGCTTTGACCTTCAAGCCAAATTTAAATCCCTTGGGCACGTCATCACCGTCCAACCCCACCACCGCCATCTTCCCACCATGAGCCTCATCTATCCAAAGAGCCATGTCTGGGGAATACACATCCGTAGGTCTTGACGTATATAAAGAGGGCTTTCCCAAGACACAGGATTCTCCAATCTTCCACATGCCCTTTGGCTCCTCATAGAAAAGGAAACGCTCGGATCTTTGGTGGTATACCGTTCGGTTGCCCAGGACATACGACATCTGTTTGAAGACGTCTTTTCCGTCAAGCATGATTGCCTGAGGTGCCTTTGCTCGCTCTTCTTCTGGTGTCAAGGGCGGTTCTGCAGTGCATTTCATCTGCGACTCTTTCACAAAGGCCTTCTTTCCACCTGAGAGATGGTCGCTTCGCTCGTACTCTTTTGGTGTCGCGTCATGGACTGAAAAGTTTCAATCCGAAAGAAAGAGAAATCTTCAAAAAGAGAGCCCTGAAGCTGCCAGGCTGGATCTGAGGAATAAAACGGTTTCAGCGAATTGAACACTGTCCCAGTGAACAATACATTCAAGCCGAATCAAGCCCAACAAAGGACACCCGCTTTTGTTTAACAAGACCAGAGTTGGAAAGGCTTGCGCATATGATGGCATTGCAGTGATGCCCCCATGTTCCAATGAATTCCAGCCCGCACAGCGTCACATGTATGAAGGATTGAATAGCTTGGTCGTCCTCTACAGTACATTTCTTTGAGCAACAACACATGGCTAACAATGCATTTTGCTTTAACTGGCGCCTTTGGGTGCAAAGTGGAATCCTTGAGAATCGGTTGAGCAACAAGCATGGCCAAAAGAAGTCTTGGAGGGCCATGTCAGAATAGCAGCCATGTGGAGAAGGGGATTTGATGCGGAGAACTATCAGCATCACTTTTTGTTTTTTGTGTCACCCACCAAATCGGTTGCCTTCCTTGCTTGGGTAGAACTCAAAAGATGTTTTGTAGGGTTAACCCGTCTACAGAGACCAAGCAGAGCGGCCAACTCCAAACTGCTGACATTGCGAGAACGGGCATCGGTTCTAAATGTGAGAATGCTGTTGGTGAGAGTTCGTGTCTGACGTCAAGAACATACTTTCATGTGATGTTCTGGGAGATGTGTCTGGCGAGGCAATACTCTCGGCGCGCTCTTAGGGTCTGGCCGCGCTTGTTTGATTGCCAAATCTTTGAATGAACTGCTTTCGATCTCCACCAAACCGCCATGCAAAGCCTACACGTCAAGGAAGCTGGGCCAAAAGTACGCTTCAGCCTCCTCAGGAAGAACTTCACAGAAACAGGTGGAAGAAGAACAAGGAGAAGCTTCTTGGAGGAGGAACCACCCGACACAAATTCTTGACGACTTTCTGAAGCCGAGCATTGCGTTGATCTTGCCATTCATTTTGGGTGTGTTTTTTCTTTCAGGGTGCCCTTTTTTCACCTGGGTTCAAAGGGACCACGGAAACCAAAGGGAGAACCACCAGTTTCGGGTCCCACATATCCATGCGAGGAGTTGCGTAGCTTGCCTGGCCCCTCCCCAACACCCACCCCAGGGCCGCCACAAGCCTGGATTGGCTTAGACCCCATAGCTGCCGCTCTCAGGGAAAGGCCCAAGAACCTTCTTGCCAATTCTACGATTTGCCCAGATTCTTCAGAACAAAACCCTCCAGAGATGTACCATTCTGAGAAACGCTGTGTTTTTCCCACATATCAGAATTGCAGCACACTGGTTTTGTGAAGCGTTCTAAACATGTTTGGTCAGTGCACAAGGCTGATAGCCTTCTTCAACAAGCATAGCTTCTACCTGGGGCTTAAGCCTGCGCACAAGCGCATGTCATCTGCCAAGCGACTCCTCTTGGATTTCCAAACAGCCCACGTTGCTCCGTCTCCAGGCATGTGAGCTGCCCGAAAGGTTTTCAAGCGGGCAGAGGCGAAGGTTCCGGTTCTAGAAAAGATCTGCCACTGCTGCCTGTCGAAACTTCTCCGCATGTAGCCAATCCGACATACCCGATGTGTCATGCTTTCTCACTTCAAGTTTGGCAATGGCCAAATGCTCGCTTGTTTTGCAAAGATATCCAGAGCTTGCTTCGAGGTCTGTGTGCATTTATGTTCAACCCAATGTGTGTGCGTTCATGAGCTGTCAAAAAGGGTGACGTCCTCTTCAACGCAACGTCGTGCGCAAGAAGGTGGGTGACATCAACATCAATTTCTGTTGGCTTCGTGACCACCACACCAATGACAATACTGATAATGAGTTTCTAGCCCCTGCGCTGGTTAGGCGGTGGGGTTGGTGTTAGTGGTCCTGCCCATAGATTCCGGTGGTAAAACAGTAAAACGGTTTTGCCGTTCCGTCTATCGATCTATCTATGTACCTATCTATCTATCTATCTATCTACCGACCCAAATCTTTCTACCTATCTACCTATCTACAAATATCTCTATCTTACCCTACCTCATCCTGTCTTATGCCATCTCATCCTATCTTTACCCTATCTTGTCCTATC